AGAATCTTATTACACTGAAGGATCATCCTGAATATCTTTATTTTTTACAATTTATCAGATTATTTGACGTTCAGGATTTCACTTAACTTTGAGCATATTAAGCAACTCAGAATAATCTGGAAACAGTAAGTTCTTCAGTCAGCCTATGTATTTGATCTTATAAAATATGACTGTATTTAGACAAATACATATAAAGTGTATTATCCCATAAACTCTATGGGACATGCATATGGCTGTGCAGCTCATGACCCTCTGAAATTTAAAATGCCAAATGATTTTCATAGGTGAGCATAGTTAATTTTTTAAACTTTTTTTTATAGCATCTTTTTTAAAAAAAAAAAATATTTATTTATACAAGAACTGGAGTACAGCCAGAGGAGTGGGAGGATGAGAGAATTCACCAGAGACAGAGTGGGGAGCAGAACAGGCAGATGGACCGAAGACACTGCTGAGGGGAGCAGCGGGCGTGGCAGGAGAGGTCTGCTGTGCCATGTGGGATTCTCTCCAGCCGGCCAGATCTAACCCGCCCTGCAGAGGCTGCGGACAGCTTCATAGCGTGGCGCTCAACCTGCTGCGCCACCGGGGAGGCCCCAATTTTTTAAAACTTTTAATATGTGATGCAAATGAGCCTCAGAATAATACAGGAGATGGTAGTCCACTTTGTTTTATGTTTCTGTACATCATATATAGTGGGTGAGGACCACCTATCCTTATATGTAAATCATGCCATAGTTAAATAGTTGTATTGCATTGTACCGTTTCTGCTATTTGCTCCTAGTAAATTTTTTCTTCTGTGTCATGGTGTTTTCATTTAGACACTTTCTTTTTCTCATGTCATACATCCAGAAGAGGTCGGCTATGTTCTCCCCAGATAGCACACGTTTTGGTCGTTACTGAGTTTAGGCTGCTTGGAAATGTTTAGCTCTTGGTGAGTTGCCCTCTGGACCTTCTTTTTAGGAAGAAGGTTGTGAAGAAGTTTAGAAACCAGAAAGCTTCCATGTGACTAATCAGCAGGCTGCTGCCATTCTTGAGAATCCAGATAATCTTTGCCACCCAGAGATTAGATCCTTCTTTGGCTCTTACTGAGATACTCAAAAGTCATCCAACTTGTAGCATTTTTTAGCGGTGGGAACACTTGGTTGTAGTTAGCAGGCCAGAATGAGCTATAAATAAATAAAATCCTACAGTGCTTGCTTCCTTCATTCAGGGTAGTCTTGCTGATAAGATGCAAGCATCTGGCAAAAGAGAAGATTCTCAGCAGGTTTAAGTGCTTACCAAAGTGCTTTCCTGTATCCATGGCTCAGCTTCTAGTCTCTGCTGTGTTATTTTGGCACTCTAGACTTGTAAGATTGGAGAGTCGAGTTTAAAACTCTCAATATATCATTAGGGTAGCCCAAGGTCCCTTCTTGTCAAGGAAGACTAGCTGATTCCAGGGGGGAGGAAAAGCAGAATCCAGGGTACCTGTAAATCCCTGTAGTTTTGTGCTGTGGGTTTGTAGCTAATTATACAGCAGGCAACAGTAATGTGCTCTATCTCTGCTGGCATACTTGTTTCAGAAAGAGCAAAATCTTCCAGCAGAGCAAAGAAGGGGCTTTGCAGGGGCTGCAAATGAATGAAGCAGTGATCATTTCATTGTAAACTAAAGCGTTGCAGTGGAATGGGGGCATCTGAACTGCAAGAAGGTGGTGGGGGAGATGCCAGTAGAAATACATGGTTCAGATATGTTTTACAGCTCTTGATTTGGATTCTCCTGCAGAAATACAGTCACGCAAGGAGACCACCACTGGTCACAGCCAGTCAAATTGCTCTTTCTCCTATGGTACTGCTGTTAGTAACTGCTAGTAGGTTATTCAGCCGACCTCTTCTGATTCTGCTTTGCTGCCTGATTTCAAAAGATTTGCCCTATACTGGCTCGCAGTCACAGCATGATGTAACCACTGCTTGTTTGCATGCGGCCCCATCATTTTCATATAGGGTCTTTTTTTCCCTTTAAGTTAGAAGGCAAAAGAATCAGAGCATTTTTATTTGATAAAAGACTTATGTAGTAGGGCTAGCTAGAATCAAGCGAAATGAAATTCAGCTAGAAGGGATGGTAAAAGGCACAGAGAACTTGTGACTGCCAGGGAAGTCAGTGTTCCTTAAATAAAGCGGATTCGACTAGCAGGCAGCAACTCTGACTTTGCATTCATATTGAAGTGGGCTCTCCAGCCGTTCTAGGCAGGCAGATCAATAAAATCAGAGGCGACTTAATGCCAAGAACCTCAGAATTCAAAGACTTTCTCAGTCCTTCTTTAAATTTATTTGATATTGATGTGGAGTGCTAGTCTCAGGAACTAAGATGAGAAAAAGCTTCATGTAGATTCTGGCTATGACAATGTGTTGTAAAGTGTCCTCAGAAAGTGCCCCTTTGGTTTGTCAGTTATTACATCTGTAAAATGGAGCTAACCTATTGGAAGAAAAATGATCGCGATAGTTATCAAAGCATTGTGAATGATGATTCATTATAACTGCTTTGAATTGCCTAAACAGCAAATGTCTTATGAGAAGTGAACTCACATTTGATGTGTATTTGAAAATGCAGTTTATTGCCTTATCAGAGATTGAGCAATTTGACTTTTTTTTTGCATGAGAGTTTGCAGTGCAATAGGGTAGATTCTATTTTATTTTTAGCTACATAAATGGAATATTTGACTTGTACATAATCTCGTCCTTGCTGGTTTATTTTTGTACAGGCCATGTATCCAGGTATCTAGTGTGTTACAGTAGTATATATTATGCCACACTGGTCATATTGTTAAACTGATGAAGTAGCTCTTGCATAGGCTAAAAAAATACATAAATGGTCACTCTGGACACGGCTAAGTATTTACCTCGTAATAGTTTATTCTTCCTTCCCTGCTCATCTATCTCCCCTACAGTCTCACCGATTCTTATTCTACCAAAGAAGATAAACTGCCTCTAAACTTACCTCTTACATGATGGATTTGGGGCCATTCCATCAAAAACTAGAGATGTTGGGAGTTTTTATTCTTACCCCATACTGTGTAGATAGTGCACAATTCCTATCACAAAGCAGCAGGGGGCTCCCTATGAGAGCTTGAGAATTGCTGATGGAGAAGGGCTAGCTTTTTATTGGTGGTGTTCTTTTCAATTCAGGCCCTTTTCTACTGAAAACCTGGCCCTTATCCTGTGAATACTCCCTTAGGAATTAGAGTATAGCTACAGAAGCAGTGAGGCCATTTTATTAGTTTAAGAAATTGGTTAACAGTTGAGGGAGATTATACCAGTTTCTACATTTCAGATACCTGAATGGATGGAGCCTGAGATTGCTTTAGTTATAGGAGTCTTCTCTCTGAACTGAGACTATGTGCAGGTGGCCCTTTTTTGGAATCCTTTGTATCTTATAGGACGAAAACTTTCTTTCCTATATCCTCACTAACACCTATAGTTTTTTGCTTAGGTCCATCTCCTTCTGTTCTAGAATGTATGCATGGTTTTTGTTTGTTGATGAAGGCAACTGCATTATAAGTAAGGATCTCTTGTGAAATGAAACCCATTCCCCTGAGTGAGAGACTCAGAGAATCCAAACAGCAAAGATGCATTTTTTTGTACTCTGAGGTTGTTCTTGCTGCCTTATGAATTCACTCTGTGATACAGGTTTGATGCAAAGAGCATTGCTACTCACAAATCACACGAGGTATACAGTTTGTGTGCAGCGATATGTCACAGCTTTTTATTTATATGGCCAGCTCAGTCTATTCTGCTCCTTTCACTGCCATGGAAAGTGCATCATTTTCCTCCCTCTCTCCTCCTTCCCACATATCATCAGCACCACCCACTATGTTCTGCCCATTAAGTCTCCTGTGTGCCAGAAAACCCCAACAATGATTAAATGCTGATAAAAGAATGTTAGAAGGTTAAGATATCAACCAATCAACCCCTTTACAGTACTCCTAAGTGGTGGGTGGTAAGTATAACTTTGCCCTTTTAACATTGAAAATACAGGGTTTTTGTTTTTGTTTTCAGTTCAGGAAATAACTGACATCGGATTTTTTAAAAAAGGCTTGGTGGCAACGACCATCAAGAATGCAGGCTTGCCTTGCAGTTTCCATTCTTATCCTAATCTTTCTTTTCCTATTTTTGGCACATTGTTTATCAGGAAATTCTAGAGCTAGCCAAATTTATGTAAGGTTTTATTTATGAGAAACCTAGGTTTTTTAAGCTTACAGAAACTTAAAAAAGTCATTATCCTAAACTCATTTATTTAAAAGTATTAATTCTAACAAATCATACCACTCTAATCACAGAATCACTTATCATTACATTCCTGCTTGACTTTCAGTTCCTCTAAGCTCCTAGAGTGCGGAGTGCCACCCGTTTACAGCGCCACCACTACCTCCCTCCAAATCCTGTCAGTGGGCAGAAGAGTATGTTTAAAGAGAATTTTTAATAAGGTAGCTGGGAGCTCAGGTTACTAGATTTTTTTCTTTGGAGGAGAGTTTGTGGTTCCATCACACATTCTAGAAAAACAATTAATGTGGGAGGGAGAGGTTGTGAAATTAACTTTTCCACCCCCCCCCCTTACACTTTTAGTAAAACAGGAATAAGAAGGAAGATTGTCTAAGAATCTTGTCAAGAGTTACAGTTCATATTGAAGTTTAAGATAATATACCATATCATAATGCTAAAATAAATTTTCATGAGCCTTTGTTTTATCACTACTATGCATTATTTTTTTGTAATGGAGCAATAAAAAAAAATCCATGGTAAATACATTTCGACCCTTTCCATCAACAGCTGCAGTGGTGAGGTAGGTCAGAAGGCATGCCTCTTTGGAAGCAACCTGGGGGTTGAAGGGTCATGAGCACTTAATTATGTCTGCTGAATGCCAGAGCTGCCAAATCGGAGCTCCTCACAACTGGTCTGTATCTGCTCTGACAATTCTTTTATTATGGCTTTCACTAACCTATCAGTGACTAACTGTGGTTGTTTAATTACAGAGGGAACATCCCCACGCTAAACAGGTACCGTATGTTTAGTTTCTTTTTAATTAAAAGTACCCTATTGGTAACTTAGATAGTGAAATCAGGGGAAAAATAACACTATACTTGACAAACTCATGTTATTTTTTGCTATGGAGTCCTGAGCCCCCCTTTGGACATAGAAAATTATTCTTTCTGTTTGGAAAACATGTCTTCAGCTTTTCTTCAGCTATTCAAAAAGCAATACTTGAGAAACCTCAGTATGGAAAACCACCATCTAGCTGTGTATAATAGGGGAGTTGTCAGCCTGATGTTCAGCTTTGCTGGAAACATCTTCTTTTGCTAAGTTCTCTGTTTACATTGGCGCTTTCAGAGAAGAAATCCATAAGATCACTTGTATCATGGACAATTTGTTCACAGTTTTTTTCCATTTTTAGTTTCTTTAATTTGCTGTCCTTTTAGAGGAATGCAAATGCAGAATAGCTGATCTCATGTTTTATCAGCTTTTTAGCTATTTTTCTAAGGTGTTAAAGTGTTATAATGATATGAAGTCAAATTTTATTTAAGACCTATAATAACATTAACCTTGGGAAAGTATATTTAAGTTTTGATGTGTATAGCCCTGTGAAGAGCTTTCCAGGCCAATATAACAAAAACAATATTTTAGTTTTTTCAGTTCTTCCTACTCCTGAGCCAAGCAAGGCAACACAATGCAAGTTTGAGAGGATAACAATTCTGATTGGAATTCAGTCAACAAAAACACTAACACAGTAGTAATAATCAGTGGCAAACTCTTTGTAAATGATCTATTGTACATTGAAAAATTTATAGGATTTATTTTGTCCCGTTCCCTTTACATATTGTTATCAAAACTGACTAAAGCTTTTAGAGTTCAGTTTGGATGGCAACAAGATAGAGAGAGCATTTGTTTGATCTTCCTGTCTGCTCTTGGAGAGTGGACTTGGTTCGTCCTGCTTGCCTTTCGCTGTCCTGGCCCATGGGCACATTAGTGAGAGTAACTGAGTAGTGGATATTTCCTATGGGTTCAGTTGAGTGAAAAAGATCTTTAACCCCATGTTTGCCATATACACAGCCCATTTGCTTTTTGAAGAGTGTTCCCGTAAATGTTATCTGGAACCCTTTTATCTTTTCCTGTCTAATGCCAGGCAGGTGGAAAAGATTTAATGCCTCACAAACTTGCTCCTTTAGTAAATATTACCTGGTAATCCTAGAAAAGAGGGTGATGATAGCATTTCTGAGTTCCTATAACTCTGAACCCAGTTTCTAGTGGGTACCTTGTGTAAGACTTGCTTGATGTGTGTTTCATTTGTTTGTTTCATCCATAGTATCAGTGGTTTCCTCTCCCCCTCTGCCTTTCTGTTCTCCAGTACTGTCAAAAGATAAAGAACCTTTTTCGTAATCTTCATTTGCTAAAGGAGTAAAAACCAAGAGCATCAATCTCTATAGTTTGTGTGAGCAGCACTTCCATCCTATAAGAAAGTTCCATTGCTTTTTATAGCAATAGAGCACAGCATGTGCCTGGATCTCAAGTTCACGTTGCTGGTTCTCTTCTCCCTGCTGCACCATAGGTGGGGCACTTTAAGGGCATTTTGAGCAACACCCTGGTGTTCAGGTGCTATCACCTCTCTCTGAATTTGCTTCAGATGAGGATGCCGGTACTTGTCAAGCCAGACATGGGGGCTCCCTTGAGTTTGGTCCTTCCCAACAGGCTGTCCTGATGGCTGGGATTCAGAGCGCTTTATAGTATTATTTATCTGCACATATTGCTGAGGTACATCAAGGAATGTGCAGATTCATTCTGTTTTTAGATTGAACAAATCAGTTTGGTTCTCTTTGAGCATCTCCATTTAGCCCCTGCTTGTGATGCTTACACACACTTTGAGACCCGTGCTCTGCCCTTTTGTATCTTGCTGGGAATCTTTAAGGGCCTTTGATAAACATGTATTTACTTTGTATAGATGTGTTTAAATATAAAAAATAAATTTGCAATTTGGGGTTGAAAAAAATACCTCTTTCAAAAAGGGAGGAGCTATAATCCTAGTAACTGCTATTCTAATCAGCCTGTTATAGGAAAAAGTAAATACCTCCTTAAAATTCCTTTTATAGACTGCAACTTGTTTCCATATAATAATGTTGTTTATAATGATTTACTAAACCATTCCAAATGACTTAGTTGTTGTTGTACATGCATGTATATCTCTCTGTAAATACTTAATCTATTATAATTCCTAGTGAAAATTGCCTTTAGTGTGTCATATTACAACTCACTTGGCTTGCTTCCTTTTTTCAAAAGAGGGAAAGGGAAGGGGAGGATGCAGGATGGTTTTTAACCCTTACATACTATCCATTTATTGCATATATCATTAAAGTCATTGTATTAAAATTGCCATGAAATTGTAGACAGTCCTTACTTTTTCATTTGGAGAAATTTGGGGACAGTGAAAATTTAATTTGGGCTAAGGAAATTCCAATGAGAAGGTTAATGAGAGTCAAAAAGACAGTCTTTTCCATGGTGGGTTAAAAAAACCAGATCTGCTCTGCAACCTGACCATACTTTAGAGTTTTTTCTTAACTCCTTTTACCTACTGTTACTCTCTCAATCCTAGCTCCTACCCATTTAGTCTAATGAACTTTATTGAATTGTCATTTAGAATGTCCTTCTCCTCCAACCTCAACCACTATGGCATGACGCACGTAGCGAGTGTCAGCGATGTGCTGCTGGACAACTCATTCACCCCGCCATGCCAGCGGATGGGTGGCATGGTCTCTTTTCGGACTTTTGAAGATTTTGTCAGGTAAGACAAAACAAAACGGTGTCTGTATGAGGGGAGCATAGGCATTTCTGCTTTGAGGTCTTTGATTTCTGCCCAGTGAGTAAAGATCCACAGAATAGCCTTGAGCCAGTTAAGAAGATGTAGTCATTCTTACTCGTGGTGTACACTCTCAGAGAGGTATATGTCCTTCCATTTCCACCTCTCATTCAGACTCTACAAGCCTCTACTTGTTATATGAGCCTGGTCAGAAAAAAGAAACAAACAAAAACCATCTTTTCCTTAGGAGCTCACAGAAGAAGCTGTCTGCTCTGTGATGAGTGAAATGTCAGGAGAAATTAAACACAACACTAGAGTGAGCCCCACCAGAGACGATACATCTTTTGATTAAATGCATTCAGCATCTATCTCTTGATGTATACTGATGCATTACCCTAGGGGGAGGGGTAATTACATTGGTCTGTCACTGCTCCAGTCCCAGGCTCTTTCTGTTACTTTAAGACCGATGATGACAGCAGTGCCCATATCTTACATATGAAAAAAAAAAAAACCCCAACAAAAAAGCTTTAGATCATTCTTTTTTAAAAAAGAAAAAAATATATATGGTTTATTAAAGTTTAAACAATCCATCCTCCTAATTTCTGCCACTTGCTGAAATTTTGCATGTCACCTCTAGCCACTGGTGATTCTATTCACTCGACAATTGAGCACAGGCTAGGACAAATCATTCTTTCAGAGTGAGCTGGTAATGGAAGTGTTAGTTTCCTGCCACTTAGGTTTTCTGCCACTTTGGTTTTCATGGTGGGTGTTTCTCTGGTATTTTTCAGGATCTTTGATGAAGTGATGGGTTGCTTCTGTGACTCCCCACCCCAAAGCCCCACATTCCCTGAGGCAGGTCACACATCTCTATATGATGAAGATAAGGTATAGTGTCCCCTTTGGGAGGCTGCTTTGTTCTTTCAGACACGGGGCTTGTACTATACACTATCTTTCTGGCTTTGGAACTTGGATAGGGGAGAATTCATCTTTTACCCTATTCTATATTATTTAATTTTGTATACCTCATCAAAGTATTTTTGGGAACCAGTGGAATATAAGTTCTAACCTGAAAAAAACCTACTAATCTTAGAATCCATAGGGTAGAATGAGTTCAGCTTTATCCATTGCAGCTGCCCTGGGGTTTCTAAATAACATTTTAAATTCTTGAAATTTGGTTGCTTTAATTTTTATGTATGGTGCCTGGTTACTTGCTTTCTTCAGGGAATGGTGGCTTCAAATAGCAGAAAATATAAACTTTTTTTTAAAACTTTGTCCTTTTATAAATCCCTTCTTTTCGTTTCTCAGTAAGCAAATTGTTCTGTTGGTTTTTTTTTCCTCCTACCAGGATATTTTCTCATGGTTTGACACTTCCATTGTTTGACAAATTTTCAGAAAATATGTTATGTGGAAATATGTTCAGATGGTATACTTCACTCATTTTTCTTTACATTCTGTGAAGAGATATAGCAGATGGTTTTGTTTCCATTTTATTGGTGGAAAAGTTGAGATAATTGATGTGCTTCGGGTTCATGTCAACTCAAGATTTGGAGCCATTCTAGCTAATTATCTGCTGCTTTATTTTGTAAAAGTTAGATCTTCTACTTTCTTTAGTCTTTATTATGGCTGGTGGGAAGTGGTTTCAATTTGCTTATTCACTACAAATGGGCACACCAAAATGTCTTGTGAAGTTCAGCTCTTTTTCAGGTATTCTACCAAGTACTGTAACTTCTCTCTGTCTCTGGATTAGCTGGTTCCTAATATCTTATATTCCTGGGTTACAGGTTCCTAGAGATGAACCAATTCACATTCTAAATGTGGCTATCAAGACTGATGGTGATATTGAGGATGACAGGCTGGCAGCTATGTTCAGAGAGTTTACTCAGCAAAATGTAAGTCCTCAATTGGGTGGAAACTGGTAGTGGCCCCTTTGCTGCTGGCTGCATATTTTGTCTGTCTAGCCATTTATCAGTTGCTACTTGTAAGGCCTATCACTGATAATGACTTTATCTTTTGCATAGTTCTGCCTGTAGGGATACAATTCTAAGGTGACTTAATAACACATAATGAATAAATGTTTTAAGGAAGGGAAGTTGTGTTTCTAAACTTTTCCAGTCTTAAACTTACATTCAACTGCTGAATATTTGCTTTTAGTGACTAAATTTCATGTCTGTACCCAAGCTTTCCATATGTCCTTCCTACCTCTCCCTTGAAAATATTAGTCATATTTCCATCCTCCTTCCAATCTTGGGTCACTTGGATATCTGATGTGTCAAACTCCATAGTTAAAATCTAAATTACCCCATTTCCCTCCCCAACAACCTCCCCCAAATAAAACAAAAATAAGAAAACCCACATAGCCAAACCATTTAACCCCAATCATTCAGCCATCACTGACTTCTTCCTTGCTGTTGTTATTCTGCCTCTCTACCCACATGTACATATTTATTTTTATATGGCTAGTTGCCAAGGCCTGTTAGTTTTTTTTTAATGGACTCACACCCTTTTTTTCTCCTTTTCAATTTTTAAATTCCCATTGCCATCTCTCTAGTTTAAACCCTTACTACTTCACACCAAGACACTGCAACAGGTTTACTTGTGAACTACCTATCTGCCTTCATTCTCCCCCTCCAGACAGATCCCATTCTGCTCAGCACCACAAAATTAAATGTCCAAAATGCCTTCTTTTGGGACATTTAATTTTGTGGTGCTGAGCAGAATGGGATTAATCAGGCTTTTTATGCCAATAGTGTCTATGGCTATCACGTGCAGTTAATGCAGGGGGCTCTTGGGAGAGTGTATTCAGGGCACGTGTGCCTGATTGTGAACACCAGGGGCATGGGTGTGAGCATGCGTAAGTGTGCACACCTGAACCTAGAAGTGAGGGCTATAAGGGTAGCGTCACTCAGAGACGGAGGGCTGCAGGAGGACAGCTATGAGAGGATGAGTGACTGCAAAAGAAGTGAGATTACGAGAGAAAGCCAGAGAGCACCCAGAGAAAGAGCAAAGATTTTCGGAGGGTTGAAGGGGGGCCCTCTGTTGCCTCCCAGGCTTCCCAGCCCCCCTACCTTACCAGCCTACAGGTTTGCCACAACACATTGTAATTCTCCCACTCAAAAATGAGTCTCTCTTCCTTCAGGGTACCTCCTTACCTTGATGTCTAGTGTGAAGGGACTGCAGTGTGGTGATGAGGGCCAGCAGTCCAGCCTTTGCTGTTCTGTAAAAAGACCCAAATCTTTATTGTCTCATCTCCTTGTCTCTTCTGCTCCCCCTTGCTGGGACTATTTTCCCCTCCCGTTCTCCCTCCCTCCTCTCTCCCTTTATTCCTTTCTTCTTTTCTAAATCCTGCTTATTTTAAGAACTGTCTCAAATTTATCCTCTTTTATAATGAGGACTTTTCTTAATAGCTGTAACTAAAATGTATCTTTTTCCTTTGAATTTCTAATCAGTAACCTGTAATTATTAGCAATAACAATACTTTTTACTTATAAAAAGCTTGCATGTAAATTTTTTTATTTGTGCCTTACCATGATCCCATGGGGTTAGTCAGGAATTATTCCAATTGTACATGTGTGAAAAGGCTCAGACTCAGAGATCTTAAGGCCCTCTGATTGTCAACTGGTAGTAGTAATACAAAGACTAGAATTTGAGGTTTTGATAAGCTCTAGGGGACACAGGTCTAGGTGCTTCAGTAAATTATACATTCATAACCCCGAAGATGCTTATCGTATAGTTTGGGGTACAGGTGGGCATGCTCAAAATCATAACCTGCAGTTATGTTTCATCATGATAGATGCCAAAGCTCCCATCTTCAACTGCCCTTAATGATAAGAGCTAAGTGTTTTCTCTGAAGGAAAAACACTTCTAGTGCTGGCTATAGAGACGAAACTAATTTTTTAAAATTAATTCAGCAGTATATGTAATTATTACTATAGGCATTCACTTCATGTAATGCTAATGGTACTCAGGAAAAAATTGTAACTTGGCGATTAATGTGAATGTAAGTATTTACTCCATGGTGCTCTCACAGTGCATAAACTGACTGCAGGATTGCAGTAGCCAACATGAAGAAAAGGCACTTCAAGAAAAGTGAAGGGATGGGGGGCCCACCTGAAAATTTCTCTTTAGAAATTTACTTTCCTTCTTGCACTTGACTAGTGACTACATCAGATGACCCTGAGACCAGTGAACTAGGTAACCTTAGTTGGAATCCTCATGTGTGTGGCTGCTGCTGCTGCTACTTCATGAACTCTATGAATGTTTCTTCCCAAGTTTCAAGACACTCATTGCCTATATTTGATTATTTTGATTGTCTTTATTTTTATTACCCTCAGATCTAAGTGTTGTATGTCATTACATGTAGGTTTAAAGAGTCAGTTTCCTCAGTTTCACTACATATGTTTGTAACATCATTTGGCAATAAGAATGACCTTTTTTCTTTACTGGACTTGTAAACTGAGGCACAGAGAAAGCCTAAGGCTGTTCGGAAGTGTAAGGGTAGGTGGATGCCAACATTTCAGGAGCAGAGAAGCCATTAACTGCATCAGGTGCTTTGGTTATCCAGGGCATTTGGCATTTTCACCTTCTTATTATAAAAAATATATATATATATAAAAGAAAAGAAAAAAGCAATTTAAAAAAAAAGCTGAAGTGATAACTCGTTTTGTTTTTCACTTTGTGATCATGCTTCTAGCAGTTAAGAAAAAAGTTTTTTTTTTTAAAGCACACATTAAACTATCAAATAGGTTGGTCCAAATTGTCCAAATAATCTTCTAGTCCCAGCATGTCTTTTTTTCTCTCATAGAAATTAGGATCATATATTTGTAAATGACTTGTGGAGGAGATTGAAGCAGTCAGTGTAAATGGAGTTTCTCCAGGTGCTGACGCCTAATCGCTGGGTAATAGCTGTGGACTTGCTGTGAGACCCGCATTATTACAATGTAATCAGAATCCTGTTGCTCTGCTGTTATTGTCAGCCACTTGTGGAATTTTAAAAGCAATAACAATTTTGATTTTAAATCATGGCATTATTAAAGTTATTTTCTTCCCTTGCCAGGACATAGCTATTGATGCTTGTCTTTGAAGGACTTGGCTGTAGTGGAATTCTTTGTTGTTGTCAGAAGAAATGTTTCTGTACCTGGATACAATGAGAGACTGAGAACCCAACACCACCCCACCCCTTTCTTCTATCAGAGATTTTTCTTATTGTGATATCACTACTTGGTTATTTATAGTAATGGATATGACGTCTGCACAGGTCATTTTTAAATGTGCTGAAACCAAAATTTATTTACATTTGATCTGGGACTTTATTATTAGAAAATTTATTCATCCAGTTATCTTTTGCTTATGCTGTTGCGTGTGAATGCTGATGCTGCTAAGCAATGCCACAGTAGAAATGGAGAAATAGGAAAAAATGGCCAGGAATACATTTGTTTATAAGGGCAACCAATTTGGTCTTAAAACTTTTTAAATATATAGTGCTGTGAAGGTTAAGAACTGGCTTATGAACATATCTCTTGGTTCAAGTTATAGCAAGGAATTTGATCAAACTAAATACTAGGATCTAGATTGCGAGAGTCCACATATTTTTTTCTACTTTTTTTATTTATATATTTTCTTTGGTCATCGACTGGTGGATTTGCTTTTCTGTTTGATGTCGTGTAGGCCCACTTTGTTAGAGACCCTTGAAAGTATGTGTTTTATACAGTTGATTAGTCTGTTTGTCTCTGTCTTTTGAGATAAGTGAGCAGTATAGGATAGAGGAAGCTTAGATCCAAAGGCCCAAGACTCATATAAGAGGCTGTCTTGAGACTGTTGCTCTGTTGACTTCTAATATCCTGCTTACCTATGCCAAGTGGTGATATTAATAACCAGTATCTTTTTAAAAGCCTGTTAAGCACTGCTTTTAACAATTTTTAAAGAGAATCTTTTTTAAAAAATACCTTTATGTAAAGTAAGGGGGAAATGTTATAGAAGAACTGAGAAGGTCAAGATTTGTCAGGCTGAATTCTGTGAATGCTGTATCTGATGATAGTTAATAGTTGTAATCTAAACAACAATTTAGGACCTGAGTTTTCTGTTTTATTGAAATTTCTTCCTTTCCCGCTGCTTGGCTTCATTTATCTTGTATTAACAGTATTAATCTGCATATTTGAATACATGCCCACCAGTGTAATTTCTATAAGCAGAAATTATATTAAGGTCTATTTTGATGTGAATGAGTCCTTTCTTAGGGCTTTTGGTGACCTCATATGACTCTTTCTCTTTTCCTCAATTTCCCCTTTAAATTTTGTCTAGACTAATATAACCTATTCCATAGGATTTAGTCCCAGAAGCCAAGTTGAGATTTGTTTATTTGTAAGTTAGAAGGCACTGAACCAAGATACAGATATCCAGAAAGGGTGCTTAGCCCAATCAGACTTACGAAGACTGAATGGGGTAAAATTTAGGATGAGTGGAGAACTCATCTATCTTCTGTTTTACATGTTGGTTCCCAGAAAGCTACTCTGGTTGAACATGGCATACGGCGACTTACTTTCCTGGTGGCACAAAAGGTATGTGAATTATACTCTCTAATATTTCATAATGCTTCTGTTAGAACTTCTAAAATTAAAAAATGAAATTACAATCATGTGCTTTTTTGTAGAATTTGTTCAGAGAAATAACTGTTTTTCTATAAATTTAATTTAAAAAACAGCTTAATAATCACTTTTTACTCATTTTGTTTTTAATTTTCATACTAATTGCCAGCTTCTGCTGTTTTTCCTTCCTTTCTTTCATTTGAAAGGATTTCAGAAAACAGGTCAACTGTGAGGTGGATCAAAGATTTCATGTAAGTAAAAGAAACTGTAATGAAAGATTATTTACTGTTTTATTTGTTTGCCATTGATTATTTATTTATTTTTGCCATTGATTATTTAAATACTGAATATATGTGGGTTGTTTAGAAGGACTGGCTTGATGCCCAGTCCCTCTTCGTTTAGGAAGTATTACAAAGAGCAATCAATTCTTTATAGTGTTCAAGCTAAAAGGCTTTTTTACCCTATAATGAAGTCTCAATTTCTCTCTGAGAAATAGTTAAGAATGAGCATATGCATTTATCCAGATAAATAAGGTAGAAGCAGGAGCTAACTCGTAATTTTTTTTGTGCACAGAGTGAATCAATAATGAAGAACTGCCTATTGCACTTTTAGGGTATCAGTTTCTACTAAGGATGCATTCAAGTTCTGTTACTGAGAATTCTCAGTTTTTAAAAACAATCATTTATTATTTTAAATGCCTGAACAGAGCCCAAATTAGTTTTTTTTGTCTTATGTTAATTCTAGAACAGGAGATAAATAAAAATTAGGTATGAAGTTGCTTGTTCTTCCATTTAACTGAATTAACTGTTAACATTTATGAGGTTAAAAATTTTATTGAAAAGAAAATTAATAACCTGGCATCTGAACTATGGTATACAAGTAAGCTCATACCTAGTATGATGATAGCAGTACGGCCAAAAACTCAATTTGAGATCAAGAGGTTATTCTCTAGAATGACTGGGTATAGTCAAAGTATTTCTTTAAAAATTGATCCTAATGTCACTAAGTAAGATTCCAGTGGCTATTAGGAAGTCTTAGTTTTCCTGGTAAGAATTTTATTTTTTATTGTTTTTTTTAACAATTAAGATAATTATATTAGTTTTCAAGCCCTGCTTATTTGCAATAATGAAGAAAACATTTGGGATTCTGGAAAGGACTTTCTAAACTCAAGGACCTATGTGTGATTGCTTTTATTGCCCTTTTATTTATTAGGTCTCTAGCACTTGACATTTTGTTTTCCTTCTCACAGTACACCTTGTTGGTTTAGTCTATAGAGAAACAAGAGCACCTACCCTGCAAGCTAAAGAGCTCAGATTTTCTGAAATGCTTTAGGAAATGTTGTGGCCTGCACAACTCCCCTGTGTTATTGATGTCAAGAAATCAAGCAGAGTGCAGATACATATCAATCAATAACTTTAGATAGGAAACTGGAGGCAGTGGAGAAGTATGAGGAGCTTAAAGAGAACCCCGGGGCTTTAGGAAAAAAAATCAGGAGCTTAAAGAATAAAATTGATATGTGGCGATAGACTATGAGAGCCCATGAATAAATACTATGGGCTGGTAGATGCTGATCAGAATAAGGAAGACATGCCAGAGCCAGGTCCTGGATTTGGGAAGAGTATTGGGCTAGATTCTTAAGCATTAAGGTGATTTTTCTTTCTTCACTGACTTTGGAATAATATATTATTCCGGGGAATAATACTGAATTTGTCGCATTGTTTTTCCTGATTTCTCACATGAAGTCTTTAGAAGGCATTCTTTCAGGGCACTGACTCATTCCTATGATAAACATTCCTTGGTAAAATGCGCCACTAAATTTTGAATGTTTTACACATATAAAACAACCCCTTTCTTATCTCTGAATCGTTGTCATGTCCTAGGGTATATCTACAACTTTCAAATGTTTCTTTTCCCTGTTAGTCTAATATTTCGGGTTTAGGTTCAGCAGGGACATGGATAAGCAAAATCTGTCAGGAAATGAGCTGGACAGTGAGTCTTCCCCAGGAATCATGATCCAGTTGCTATTTATAGTGGCATCAAGTGGAAAATCAGTTGAATTATCATGTGACTTGATTTGTCATGAGTTAGGAAAGGTTGCTTTAGGATGTAGAGAACATTAAGGTTTATGTATACAATAGATTTGCTCTGAAGAATTGAATGGCAGAGGAGTTGGGGTGTTTTGGTGTTGGACCCCTTAGAAATGATTAGTAGTTACGCAGGGGGCAAGGGCAGCTATTACTGAACTCTAACCATGCTCTGCAATTGCCAGGAAGCCTTGGCAGGAGTTGTACAAATCCGGGGCTCACTATCATGGCGCTGCAGTGAGTTCCTCTGCTGGTGGTAGCTTGCCATTCATGAATGATGCTTAGCCTCTGTCATGTCGTCTAACGTGTGCTTGCCCCATAGTTAGTGTAGTGTGAAAAAGAGGAAGCTTTCTGGGAGTGTTAGAGATGAATCCCTTGATCTCTCTGGCTTCCTGGTAATCCACTGTGATGTATGCAGCCTCCCCTGTTCTACCCTGTGAAATCCCTATATTATTGAATAGAAGAGAGAATGTGCACATGAGGGGGCAAGGAGAGGAGGAAGGTTACTGAGTCTGGTTCAAGAACAGCATTAGCAGGTGTGGATGAAGCAGCTGTGCTGTTGCATGGTCTTCTCTCCGGCTGCTTCAGAACCAGAGAGAGGCAAATGAGGGCCAGAGTAGAGGTTCCTAGAGAGTGTGTATATTGTTGGGTGTTTATTCAGATGCCAGTGAAGTCTGTACGCTTTTCCAAAACATCGTCATTTAATCACTACAGTCCCCAGAGAGCTGTCCACTGTAATGTCTTGACTACATGGAGACTGTTCTTCTGAGCTGGCGATACTCATCAGCATTAAGGAAGCTTGGTGTTGAGTCTGTTTCCATAACCATCTAATTAAATCAAGTACCCATAATGGGACTTGAATAACTGCTTAGCATTAATATTTAAACAGAAAGTTTGAGAAAAAGTAAGTCCATCTTTGTAAATATCACCTTTATATTTAAAAACATATTGAAGTCTTGAAAGCAAAAGTCTCTGGCTTTCTGTAGCCCTAAAAGCTGCAGCTCTCCGTTTTTATGTAATGTTAAGCCTGTTCATTCCACTCACATTTTAGATTCCAAAAAATGCGGCAGAAGTGCTGCTGAATTGAGATATAAGTATTATACTTCTTGAAGCTTTCCACATTTTTTTCAAAAAAAAAATTTATTAAGGCTAACAAAATGAGGATTTTCAGGGTTTCTTCATATCCTTTGTGACCTAAGCAAGAAAATCAGATCTAAAAACGCTGGTGAGATTCTAAATCAGTTTTGCATCTGTTAAGTTTCCTTTGTTTCTTAGCTGTAAGATTTTTAAAGTTATGTAATAAATCACAGAGGAGATAGTTGTTTACTGATCTAATGGGAGTGACTCCCATGTTAAAATTAAATGTTTTGGATTATCTGGACTTGACAGAGGAACCCACTATCAAAAACAGTTATGGCTAGTAGTTCATTCATTAAAAAATTTATCGATTTGTCAATTATATATCTCAATAAAGCTGGAAAAAATTGGTAGTTCTTTTTGCTAGTAGACCAACTATTAGCTTTTCAGAAGGTTTGGGTTTTTGTTTTAATTACAGTCTATATAATTAGTTCTCAGCATGTTGAGGTAAAAGAGAATTGCACCAGCAAGCTTCCAATTTCTTCATCTCATTAGGTTTTTAACACGATTATTAGTATCATAATCAGCTATGATGTTTTCTGTTGCAGGTTTTCACATTCTCTGATTTGCAGGGTGTCTTGATTGGCTAATTTAGGCAAATTATTTTGATTGTCTTGATGATGGTTGGTTGATTAGAACACAGCAGGGGTATAATTTCTTCCTGAGAAATGTTGCGTTCTTTTGTTTTTGGGTACCAGAACGCTAAGAGGGATTTTCTTTGTGTACATTCAATTATGATATTTGCCCATAACACTAGTAGAATGCCTGGAAAGCAATTACATTAGTGATGGAGTAAGCACGAATGCTGTTAGTGGAAAAACTGACAGTATGTGGATGAGGTCGGATGAAGAAATTTACTAAAACTATAGGATCAAACTTTTGGATTTCTTCTTTTTTGTGTTTCTGTGAATTTTGAATGGCAAAAAAATTAATTTCTATAAAAGTATTCGACTTCCATATTGCCCAAAGAATTGCTCATTAATCCTGCTTTCCCACTATTCTGAATGCTTGACATCTCCTTTTCTGAATGCTTCATACTTAAATCAAGACATTACTGTGGAGCTAAAAATTTACTCAGAAGTTTAAAAAAAGAATTTTGCTAACATCATATCATAACACCTTTTCTTAACTAACCTTAATGAAAGTGGTTTTTCTGATTGGTAGTTTTGCCCACCTCTGCCAAGAATTAGTTTCTTTCATTATTTGTAGTAAAGGTATTTCCATTCAAATTGTTTGCTTTTTATGCCCCTTGGCTGCTACAAATTTTCTTAATTGGTTTAGTGGTAAAGAAAGCATTTTTTGGTTGTTATTTTTGTGTTTTTGAAGGAAAATGATTTTGATCCTGGAACTGTACACACTTGAATTAGTGTGTGCTAAATAATGACTTGGTTAATTAATTGTTATGGCAGAGTAAAGGAGTGTTACTTAAAAAATTGTATTATCACTTTCCTTAGTTTTTCTTTCAGAAAGTTCCATGGAAGGATTTTATTAGTCTTCCTGTTTTTGACTTGTGTTACTTTCAGCTAATGCTCTGAAAGCCCTTACTCTCAAGAATAAAACCCAAACTAGACCGTGTAAAGCCATGAGCATGAAATCTACTGACAACTCAGCTCAATATCTTCCTGCTTCCCCTTGAAGTCAGCCCCACGTTCTTCACTATCATTCAGGGGAATTAGAGAATTATTTAGAACAGAAACATCATCAGTGAGCAATCCGTGTGGTGTAAAGTCTGCTTTCAGAGGCCTTTTTAAAGACCCATGCCTGGATAGGGGGCTTCCTGGCTTGCTAAACAAGCTCCTTAGAAACCTGTTAAACACAGCTGTACAGTTAAAGTGCCACAGAAAATGTAAAAAGATTTATTAACCTAAAAACTTTAGGTAGGGTGAGGGAAGACAATACCTTTGGGAAAGTATTTGAGAAGTTCTCAGTAAATTTAAGAACCCCAGCTTTTTAGGGTGTTTTGAGGGTTTTTTTTTTTGCCTTTTTCCTTTAAAGTCTTTATTTCTGCCTTCTGTCTCATTAAAGGGAAGCCCTCTAAATAAGGAATTTGGATTTTAACAAGAATAGAAGGGTGGTATCCTGTTCTTGAGAGGTAGAGTGGTAGAAACAAAAGGGCATGGGCTCTAGCATGAGAGAGACCCCAGTTCACATCCTGGCTCTGTGATCCTTGGGAGGGAATCACTCGGACAGGCTTCTTCAGCTGCATGATGAGGTCAGGTCATAATGTCTACCTCAAGAGGTTGTTGAGAGCAACACATGGACAAGATGTGCCAGCACCTGCCACTTACAGCCTTTCAGTTTGTATTTCCTTCATGGTTTCTGAGGCTTATTGAGGGATATTTAGGCAGCAAGTCCTGGTCTCTGCCTTGAACCAGTAAGTGTTTGATTATATTGTACTCATAATGAAGAAGATGCCTAATGAAACCTCCCATAGAGGCAGATAGTAATGACTTGATTCCAGCACTGCCAGTAGAGCTTCCCATCCGAGAAACAGGGGTATTTGGTGTTAATAAGTTAAATTTCAGAAACTAATGGACTCTGCTAATTGAATTCATCTTTGTTAATTGATAAGGTTCTAGTAAATTGGTTGCTTTCTTGTGTAATGCCCTGCAAAAGAGCAGTAAGACCTAATGATTACAAGTTCACTACTTCCTTTACGTATAGTGGTAGTGACCAGAGTATCTCCTTGTATTTTTCTTTGTCTTGAGATGTTATTGTTTTTCAGACCCTTGAAATTATTGACTTGAAAGTGAATGTGGAAAAAACACGGATTGGGGATTCTAGGCTGTCTGGCTAGTTTACATTTTAAGAGTTTCTTAAGGAGAAACTTGGGAAATCAGTCAGTAACTACTATTGTAATGGCTGCAGCATAGGGTATATTGGTTTTATTTGCTAGGTTGTGGCAAGAGCAACATCCAGGAGGATTTTTTTTTTTGACTTGTTGATAAAAAATAGTATTTCCTTCCCCTAGGGAAGGGGTGGCTTTTGAAGTTAGGTTAATAGTGTGGTGATTCTCAAATTTGGAAGTGGGGTCAAAGTGCTGGTTACCCAGAGGATCATTCCTATTCCCTGGGCTAAGCTTAGGTTAGGAGCGTGCTTTCTAGGAAACTGTCTTCTAGATGCTTGACTGTTTCTGTACTATGTGTTTATCCCCAAAGAGCCATATCTGTGAAGGACTGACACATTTTCCTATCTTCTTTAACACAGAGAGAATTCCCTAAATTTTTCACCTTCCGAGCAAGGGATAAGGTAAGAACTGATTCTTTCCCTCTTTTATTTTTTTTTTAAAAATGAACTATTTTTTTAGACAGATCCAAAAAAAAAAAAAAAAAATCCTATGAGTAGCTTATCTTTGCCATATGTTCTTCTGGCCATTTTTTTCTCTAATGGAACTTGTGCTTCCCTTTGTCTTACATGTTTCTTAGAACTGAAGAAGACTCCCTTCTAAAAAAAAGTTTGGTTTAGGAAATAGTCAAATATATTTACCGATCCAAAGAAAGTGGTAACTTTTAAAATCATCCCTATGCTCTAGGACAGCCAGGTGATGCGGTATTAAAGGACTTCTATACATAGTGGGATCACTTTGTCACCCACAGAAAGTTCATTTATACTCGTCTTGTTTATGTGCATTTAATTTTCAATTTTAAAATACAGAATTTCAGGCCATGTTGGTATCTTCCTGTTACTAGCTTATTTTCTGGTGTCACTCAATTGACATATACTCTAGAAAAAATTTAATTTCAACAGTACATGCAGTAACTGATACATTAAAAAAAAAAAGATATAGAAGTACCTATATGTCCCCCAATCAAATATCTCTATTTTTAAAAATTATGTTTATTTGTTGAGTATTGACGGTGTGCTTTGTATTGTACCAGAAATGATAGGATATGGGCTCTGCTCATGGGCACTGGAGATCAGTTGGGTAAACCCAAAACACTAGTAGAGGAATTAGTTATTAATGTGAAGCATTAATTGGTTAATTGTCAAAAATTAATAATAAACACATTGAAAACTATAGTTCTGAGGGAATTGATGTTTTTGTTTGTTTTTAATGGAAAGCACCATCACTTATAAAAGTGTAATAATGGCAGTCTGGGAAGTCAAGATGAGGGCCTAATCCTGTATCAGCTATAGTATTAGTCTTGTATGTAGCTGCTTGTTGCTCATTGGTATATCCTAGGTTATGTGTCTATTTTTAAGCATCTCTTATACATATACACTTATAATTTAATGTTGCAACTGCTTTTTGTGAGCTGTTTTTCCTCCAACTCTTGTGCTCAGTTTGAGGAGGATCGTATCTACCGTCACCTGGAGCCTGCCCTAGCTTTCCAGTTAGAGTTGAACCGGATGAGAAATTTTGACCTGACTGCCATTCCATGTGCAAATCACAAGATGCACCTGTATCTTGGGGCGGCCAAGGTGGAAGTGGGCACCGAAGTGACAGACTACAGGTTCTTTGTTCGTGCAATCATCAGACATTCTGATCTGGTCACCAAGGTGGGTGCTGTCCTTTAACAGAGAAGTTATTCTGAAGGCAGGAACAGAAAAAGAGCCATGGTTCAAGATAAGGTTTTAATTTTTTAAGTCAAGGCTTTTGTTTTCTTTCATCCCACTCTAATAGCCGGAAGTCTGAGTCATTTCATCTCATAGAGGTAAATATTCCGGTGACAAAGGGTCTTTTTTCCCCACTTTGATTTGTTTTGGTGATGGAAGTATGGTAGCATTCATATGAGAAAAGAAAAGCATCCTAACAGAAAAGTCATAGGGAGAGTTAGGTGACAGTAGAGGATAAGGAGAAAAATGACCCCATCGTAAACCTGTCTATAGAGTTCTACAGCATGGGACCTGGTAGTATATTAGTTCTTACTGCATCCGTGTCATAATCTCTCTTCAACTTTTCCCTTCTAAACAAATTTCCTTTCTAAACTGCTTGGTTTGAAGTATTTGAACTGTTTGGCATGTGTGAGATGTATTCCTGTTGGGGTTACAACTCTGGGATTGCTCAGCATTTCCACATATTGAAAGGAAATGAGCACTAGGAGACAGGAAAAAGAGCTAGCAGGAACTTTTTATCTGACCCTTACCTATCCCTGCTGCCTGAGGTTGCTGGGACTCCAGGGAGAAAGGTAAACATTTGCAACAGGCTCCATGTGAGCTGTGGCATACTGCAGCTTACACAGTGACAGCAGCCATTTCTTTATTGCCTCTTAAAATGCATTAATGGTGAGCCTTCCTGGTGGCTCAAGGGATTAAGTCTCAACACTGTGAAGCTATCCACAGCCACTGCAGCACGAATTCAATCCCTGGCCAGGAGGCTACCCACATGGTGCATCAGACCTCTCCTGCCTTACCTGCTGCTCCCCTCAGCAGTGTATTTCAGTCAGTCTACCTGTTCTGTTCCCCACTCTGTCTCTGGTGAATCCTCTCACCCCTGCAGCTCTGGCCTACTTGTGTGCATAAATAAATCTTTTTTTAAAAAGAACTTTAAAAGGGCCTCCCTGGTTGAGTGCTGGGCTGCAAAGCTGCCCGCAGCCTCTGCAGCGCCGGCCACCAGTGAGGGTCCCACATGGCGTGCAGACCTCTCCGCTCTGGCTCTGGTCAATTCTCTTACCCTCCCGTGCTTCTGACTATACCCAATGCTTGTATAAATAAATAAATAAAAATAAATCTTTTTTTAAAAAAAGAACTTAAAAAAAAATGCATTAATGGTAATAGTGATTTTCTCCCTGCATAGGAAGCTTCCTTTGAATATCTGCAGAATGAAGGGGAGCGGCTGCTCCTGGAAGCGATGGACGAACTGGAGGTTGCGTTCAACAACACAAACGTCCGCACCGATTGCAACCACATCTTCCTCAATTTTGTGCCCACTGTCATCATGGACCCCTCCAAGGTGTGGCCCTTAGCACCTCCCAGCCCCACCAGCCCCAGGACGGGAGAGTCATTCAGGCTTCTTCTCACTTCGTTGAGTCTTTGGCCTTTAACATTTACAGCATGCCTATAAGACTGGGTTTGTGGGGTGGTGTTAGAAGTTTGAGAGCATGCAGACTTTCAGAATTGAAGGTAGTATGATGATGATGGCCCGTTGGTTGTTCCTAAGCAATATGAAAACATAACACCTCTTTTTCTTCCTGCATTGGTACCTGTTTTATGATATTTGCCATGATAATGGTCCTGTTTTACATCATTCCCTGTGATTTCTCATCTGGAATAAATAATTTGCTTTTGTTGGGCATTTACAAAATTATTGCTTCTTTGCCCTAAATATCACTTACCTGGTGGCCTTAGGGAGGTAATGTACCCTCCCAGTGTGTCTAACCTATTTCTCTTTAGTATTTTTCCATAGGGAGAGAATAAGGTTGATAAAGAATTATTTCATATGTATTATATGTTTTCTTCCCTGAGGCTCTATTCTGAAATGCATTCCATATAATTTAAGAAATGAAAGCAAAGTGATTCTGTACTTGACCTTTTATCCCAGGTGTAATAAAAACAGGTTACTACTTCTAACCTCCTTCCATCATGATATTGTAGAATTCGTAGAGGAGAACCAATATCTCCATTGTAGCATGGACTTTTGCTTTTCAATCTCACAGTACCTAAGACATAAGTTTTTTTCTTTTTTTTTTTTTTTTTTTTTTACCACCACTTCAAACTGTCTATCTGTTGCTTTAGTCTATCAGGAAAGCCAGTGACAGGGCTACTCAGTGACTATCAATTCTCGTGATCTAGTTCAAGCAAAGGTTCTCCTTAGTATTCTAGGACTGCTGCAGCTGTCAGACTTAAAACATTGCCTGGACATATGTAGCTATGTACCATCTCTATGCATATATATATATATATATATATATATACATATATATATACACACACACACACATATATACATATTTTTAGATTTGACTTAGTATTTCTCAGTGAGTTTTTTAATACCAGCCTTTCTGCTTCTGCTCTTAAGCATCTGTATGCCCAGACTCTGCCTTTCTGATGGTAAATAGAAGTCAATTCCCTGTATATATGTTGACTTTTGTTTCCTCAAGAAAAGAATGACTGTATCTCTTGGTTAACAAGCAAATGCGGGAATAGCACTTCGTGAAACCCATTCTGACCTGAAGTTCTCAGACCTCAAGGGCAGTATGTCAGGAGCAGTGCAAGAGAAGTGTGGACTCAGATACTTTTGAGATTTTCTAAGAAGTTGAGACAGAAGTTGAAAACATCGACTTCGAGTGGTGTTCCTAGCTTCCTGCCGCCATATTGGAAAACAATTTCACTTCAAAGTGAATTCGGAGAAATCACATCTAAGATATTTTCTAACTCTCCCAGCACTGAAAACTATGGTTCTAAAACTGTATAAAGTTTAGAGAAAGCAGGAAACATCTGCCCCATCTACTTAAATCCCAGTTAGATCTGGCATTGACCAAACTTCAAAAGTGTGTTTAGAGAGAATCTTCTAGCACCACCTACAAATTGCCTTTCTTTAATTTGTACAATTTACCAAGAGGCATGTATTATAAAGTTTAATAAAACTGTATGGAAAAAACCTCGAGGTGGTAATTGCTATGTTGATTTAAGTTCCTGTAAGTGCAATGAAACATAGTTACTATGCATATAAATGCTACTTAATAGCTGTTTAGCTAGAAATTTTATTCTTATTCAGGGCTTTCTCTTAAATCCCTTGGCTTATAATTTTAGATATTGCAGATCTTTGATATAGAATATTAATATAATTGGGAAAGGGGAAGGGAGCAGCACAAATTTGGGTATTGTGAACTGAGAAGACCACTCAAATGTGAGACCAGCATGAAATTGTCCCTGACTTGTTCTAAGCAAGAGTAGGGTTGGGGAGAAACTCATTTTTTGTAAGGATCACATAGAGTGCACATCTCCAGAACCCAGCATCTTTTTCTGTTTCTCCTTTCCAATGATAGGCAGACCTAAAACAGGTCCTTGTTACAAGGTATTTAAGGTTTGTGCTTGGTGATGTTTCTGTGTCAGATTGAGGAATCTGTGCGGAGCATGGTAATGCGCTATGGAAGTCGGCTGTGGAAATTACGCGTCCTCCAGGCAGAACTGAAAATCAACATTCGCCTGACACCAACTGGAAAAGCAATTCCCATCCGCCTCTTCCTGACGAACGAGTCTGGCTATTACTTGGACATCAGCCTGTACAAGGAAGTGACTGATCCCAGGACAGCACAGGTATGGTAGTCAGCACCCCTCAGAGTTTTGATTTGGTCTTACAGATAAACCACTCGTCTTTGTTGTGGAGGACCCAACACAGATTCCATTGGTTTATTTAGTGGAGTTATCGTCTCTATTAGCTTTAAAAATGTTACATGAATTTGAAAAACATCATGTGCATTTTGAGATAGAGCTGTGTTCCTGATCATGGATATTAAGAAACCCTCAACCTTTTGTCACATATCTGTGAGCCTTAACAGATGCCAAGTGAACCTGCTTCCAGGTGTGACCCTGCAGTTTAGGGCCCTTGGACTACCTGAGCAGTTTAGTTTCTCTATGCTGCCTTGTCTTTCTTGTTCTCAGCCAGCTTTGGACCATTCATTGTCAAGCAGGGACAGAATTGTTGAAATATTACCAAGGAAAATTTCGACATAATCTATAGCTTGAGTCATATCAAACATTGACTTTATCATATTTACCTATCATGTTATTCCATCTATGTACACTGCCTTTCCTTCAAAGTATTCATATTATTTTATGTCTATAAAAGTGTACAGCTGCAAGCTTTAGCCCATTTTTCAGCTAGAAAAATTGAGAATGAGAAACTAGAAAATGACTCAATAGATTAATTCTGTGATAATAGAGAATTCCCTTTTAATTGATTTTACCACCTTAGTTTCTAGATAGTTGGGTCATACTTACTTTAGGTTGGTTCACCATTACTATTGTATTTTTAAGAACTGGGATGTTACTTTACTCTTTGGCCTGAACTTGACAAGTGCATTTCTTCTGGTTAAAAGATGAACTTGCTCCATTATGTGTAGACAAATGCTTTAGTCTGTTCTGTGCACGAGGTGCCAGGAAGAGATTCTATGTCTCTTGTTTTTAACTATGTCCTTTTAGATCTGAGTACAGAGAAGGGGAAGACATTTTTGCTAGTATTTTGAAGATGAATTTTAAAAATCTGAGTGTGAATTGTTGTCAGAGCAGACTTTCATTTTGTGCTTTGATTCCCAGTTAGATGGCCAAGAGAAATCTGTCCCATGAGAAGTGAACAGTTAAGATAGCGAGAGAGAGCACAAGAGTGTGAGGGGTGAGCAAGAGAAAGAATATTCAATAATTTTTGCCGCATTTGATGTTTTTCAGGACAACCTTAAAGACATTTTCAGTCAAAGCTTTCCATGGGCAGGGATGTTTTTAATTAACTTTTACAATGGCTTCAAGGCAGGTCTAGTCTTGTGAAAAATAAGATGGCCACTTGAGATTTTAATGTTTTTGATAAATGTTTGTTCTTCATAACTACTTTCTTTTTCCTTTCTTTTATTAGAAAGCTCTGCTATTTCCCTCATGCTGGCCAGTGGTGACATGGGGCATGAAAGGCACAGATGCCTTCATTCAGGGTTTAGTACAGGGCCTAGCACAAAATTGGCACTCAGTAAGTATCTGAAAGAGTGAATGAGCTACCTCTAGCCTTCACCCGTTTACCATGGGTCCTGTCTATTTAGGAAGCCCTGAAGGAAGAGGTCCCCCCTTAGGCTCTTCATTTTGGGGACTTCACAGCTGCTGTCACATGTGATGTAATTCAAGAATCCATGACTCGAGGAGGGATCAAACAATTGTTTACTTTATGACTTGTCCATTAATTTAATGTTTATTGACCAGATATAGTATGTCAGACATTCTGGATACAACAGTATCAAGTGATCTCTAATTTTAAATTTATAGCATGATGGAAGATAGGTAATTAGTTTCTCTGTGGTATGATATGGCATCATAAAATAAGTATAGGGTTCTAAAGGAGCAGACTATATGGAATCAGATTTGTTTGTTTTCAATGGCCTGTGATAGAAGGTGTATGATATATGATATGTGTACATATTTTCATGAACTTGTAAAACACAGGCTTTACCAGTTTTTAATTACTGTTCATTATAGTAGAAAATGGAATTAACATTCAGAGAATAACATTAGTACCCATACTATCATTCTCTTGCCCTAGCACATCATTTATTTTTTCTGTCTACAAGGAACAAGGTTGACTAGCTTGAGTATCATTTTGTTTCATTTTCCTTGCATAGTCTTTGTGGTATTAGCTATAATGAACCCTGACGTCAAGCAGTCATAGTGAAGAGAAGGGCTTTGAGTAATCTGTTGTATAAATGAATTGATTTCCAATGTGTAAAGAAGTACACAGTTTAAAATCATCTTTATCAAGATATAACTTGCATATAATAAATGTACTCGTTTCATATGTATGGTTCATTTCATTCTGACAGTTGTGCACTTCTATGTAACCACCATCACAATCATGATAGAGAGATCTTGATAACCTCAAAAGGTCTTCCTTTGCTGTCAAAGGCAAAGGCCCCAGCCTCACCCCTAGGCGTACCATTATCTGCTTTCTATCACTATAGATTAGTTTTGCCTGAGTGAATTTCATAGCAATGAGTTTAGACAGTATGGACTACTTCGTGTCTGGTTTCTTTTGCTCAGCTTAGTGTTTTTGAGATTCTTCCAAGTTCTATGATTTGTGGTTATATTCATCTTTATTGCTGAGTAGTATTCCAGTTCATGGCTATACCAGAATTTTTATATTCATTCATCTGTTCATGGACATTTGAGGTATTATTTTAGTTTGGGCTATTATGAATAATGCCACTGTGAACATTCATTTACAAATATTTGTGTAGATGTGGTTTCATTTCTGTTAAGTAAATACTTAAAGTATAATTATTAGGTCATAGTAAATATATGTTTAACTTTATTAGAAACTGCCAAAGTGGTTGTGCTATTTTAAGTTCCTACTAGCAAAGAGTGCATCTAGAGAGCTTTCTTCAATCCAAGCCTCCCTTCTCAGCACACACAGTTACATTGTTTAACTGTGACCATCCTAACTTCATTCCAGGGATTGGCAAAACTGAATCTCAAACACTCTACCCCTAGGTCTTTTTTTCCCCACTAACAGACAAGAATGTAGTTCTAAGAACCTGCTGCTTCACTCCTTTTTCTTGGTTTGATTGGAGTCTCCTGAGTCCAGATTTCTAACAATAATACCCTTGCCTCCCTTAACAATTTGAATCTCTTAAGACATGACTTTGTATCCCACACACTTTTTTTTTTTTAAAGATTTATTTTTATACAAGAACCAGAGTACAGGCCAGATGCATGGGAGGGTGAGAGGATTAACCAGAGACAGAGCGGGGAACAGAACAGGCAAACTGATGAAATACACTGCTGAGGGGAGCAGCAGGCGAAGACAAGAGAGGTCTGCTTCGCCATGTGGGATTCTTGCCGGCTGGCCAGGATCGAACCCGCACTTTAGAGGCTGCAGACAGCTTCACAGTGCAGCACTCAACCGCCTGCGCCACCAGGGAGGCCCTCTCACACACCCTTAAGGCTTTATTAATTCTACCTTCCCCATGGTGACCATTGGCCATGTGGAATAATACTAGGGGCTCCATTCTGTGAGGTTTTATGCATCCAGAGACAAGTTTTGCCCCAAATAGGACCTGATTGACAAGTCAGCAGAACACACATGTTCCTTGGAACTGAGGGGCTAAGGATTTACTTTAGCTGCACTGTACCCAGGATTTACCTAGCTGAACTGTACCCAGATTACTCTATCCAATAAAGAATTGACTTCTGTTCTTGCCACTGTATATCCAGTCCACAAATATGTTCATTGAATAATACAATTAACTATATATATATCGTAGGCCCAAATAGATATACAAATATAAATACATATGCCCATATATCCCAGTCTTCATTTGTATTCATTATGTTGGGAATCTGTTTTATGTATTCATGCATAAGGTGCCTAGTTTAGTGTCATACATAGAACCTCTGTGCACTAAATAAATATTAATTGAATTGAAATAATGGCATCCCTTATAAATATTCATCAGCAAATAAAACTAAATATATGGAATATGAAGTACTCTTCTAGAAATATTTGAGTTAAAATGATTAAAAACTGGTGTGATTTCATTATGTGATATAAGTATAGCAGAACCTATTCGTTAGTTGTAGATGTAATATAATGGGAGAAACATAATTTAAATATGTATATTTTTATTTTAGTATAGGTTGTATCTTATAGGCTAACAAGAACTAACTAGATAGATGGATAAAATTATCTTCTGGCAGAAATCTTTAAAGCCTTTGTGCAACAGCTAATTATACTTATGAAACACTTTCTAATCAAGTAGACTAAAGCATAAATGATACAGTAGTCTTAAGCTGGCCTACCATTGAGGAAAGAACAGAATTCTCTTTAGGGCATAGTTGTTCCTCAACTTAAATACTGGGACCATTTGGACAGGCTAGTTGACTTGCTTCATTTCTGAATATATGGGATTTAAGTTACTTTACAGGGCAAGCATTGTCATTCTGTCTGAGATGTGAAATTCACACTGTCCTTTCTTGTTGGCTTCAACTAATTGGAAAGTGAGAGCAGCCTATAGTTGGTTACATACTATTATTTGGGTGTTGGATAATATGAAGAGAGGTGACAGTCCCAAGTACCCATTATTAAGAGTTTTTGTATGTTAGGTACTCAACCACCAAAAATGTGTTTCAAGAAAGACATTTGTGAAAAAAAGAGCCTTCTAAGTACCTATTTGATTTTTTTTCTCTCTTACATCCCCTGCCATTCTCCTTTTCCTGCAGATTATGTTTCAGGCATATGGTGACAAACAGGGACCATTACATGGGATGCTGATCAACACTCCATATGTGACCAAAGACCTACTTCAATCAAAGAGGTTCCAGGCGCAGTCCTTAGGGACAACGTATATATATGACATCCCAGAGATGTTTCGGCAGGTAAAGTTGACTCACTGTAGGGCTCTGACCTATTCCTGGGAGGCAAGGTTTTTCCTGAATTTCCATCAGATGTAGCTTTGACTGGGAAGGGACTCTCCCAAAGGGCAGGAAATATCTTGACATTATTCGTGTTTCTATCTTACTTGGGATTTTGTGACTGCCAACTCAGATGTAAGATGTTTATGAATTAGCAGGAGGGATGCTGAGACTAGAAGTTTATTAGTGAAAGGGAATAAACTGAGACCATGTACCTATGGCAGTAGTTTACAGTGATCTACGTGTGGAATTATGTTCATGTGTATATTTCCTAAATCTATATTCAAATTATGGATATTAAAAAAGAGGTGTGAAACACTACTTCTCATTTTTCTATTTTCCATGATAACCCAGGTCCCTAGCTGATATCCCAGGTTAATATGATGAGAATCAGTATAGATAACATATACAAATGGATATAGAGCTCATGGTACACAGTTTAAAGTATCAGTTCTTTTGTGGGAGATTTATTATAGCTGAATAAAAACTAGCATGAGAAAATATGACATTATGAATCTCATCCTCTATATGAAAATAAATTCCTTTGATCTGTATGGTGAATCATCTCTATGCTGCAGATTTTTCTTCCATCAATAGAAGGCAAGAAAAGTATATCACCAGCAGAAAATGCAATAGATAAAGAATAAGGTATGAAAAGAATACTAAATTTGTCCTTAAAGAATCTGAGTATAGGATTTTTCCAAGTCTTCAAGCTAATACTGTCAGTATTACCACATTTGAATTTTAATAAAGTAATATGTGTGGCTGTGGTAAATCTACCTGTAATTCCTCTATTATTTACAAATACAAGAGATTTCTTTATGCAAGATTTCTTTTGTTTACAAGTCATATATCTCTTGAAACATAGCTATCTTCATCAGTGTTGTTGATATCATTAGCCTAAAACTTGGGTGTTGGTTCTTTTTCCCAGTGTCAGTCCTATAACTAGGAATCACATTCTATGTAATTCTACCTATAGAATAGACATAAACACAGTGATTGGGACATGGAGATATGAATGAGTCATATTGACTTTAAATGTTGCCTTGAGACAAGCAAGGAAAGAACTATACTAGTTCCCACTTCAAGAAGGATTTTGTTTTTTCATAATGGTTTTTGAATGGATAGGTTTATCTCTTTTTTTCAAATTTGAGCGGAATTGATCTGTACATTTACAGATGTGAACTAATTCCTATATCTGGGCCTGTAGCTCTGAAAGGTATTAGAAAGAAGATGTTTGCTGACCCACTACAGGAAATTTTATTCTTTCTTTCATGGATTTTTTTTTCTTTTTTGTCGCGTCCCACCAAGTGCACCTCTTCCCAAATATTTCAAACTGAGAGTTAACAGAGTGACCTGTCACCTTCCTCGTTATTCATCTATTGCCAAGTTTTTCTGAGACATTTCTTTCTTCTTTTAAGGGGATCTATGCTACTTACTTAGTTTTTTAATTTTCCTGGGTAATTGTTGGGTTTGTTAATGCTCTAGTACTGATTCATGATCACTCAGTAGATCATTGTTGTTAGAAAAGTGCCTGACTTGGGCATGTAAAAAAATGATGTGAAAAATAATCACAAGTCTTTTATAACTGAAAATAAGAGCTGTAGAATTTGGTCTAATGCTTAGATTCTCAGCAGAAAACTTGGAACAGAAAAGGCAAACCCAGATTGACTGAATTTTTTAAATATTTTCTTTTTGTGCATGTTGGAATGCCACTTGTCACTGATTGGTCAAACTTCTCTCCTCTGCTAGTCCCTGATCAAACTGTGGGAGTCTATGACCACTCAAGCATTCCTTCCATCACCCCCTCTGCCTTCTGATATGCTGACGTATACCGAGCTTGTGTTGGATGATCAAGGTCAACTGGTTCACATGAACAGGCTTCCAGGAGGAAATGAGGCAAGTAGTAGAACCCCTGGTCCCCTTTTTCTTCTCTCTGTGCCCACTAGTGCCTCCTTCATGGGGGTAGTTTAGATCCAAGTGGCACGGATATCATAGCATTCTTGGTGGTAGAATTCTTTAGAGAGAAAACACCAACTAGATACATGTCAAAAGTATTGTTAATTTTTTAGGTGTGATAATGAATATTAATTTGAAGGTATTATTTTCTGTTACACATCTGTTAAAATATTTATAGATGAAATAGTCTCATGTCTAGGATTTGCTACAAAATAATGGGGGCAAGAGGAGTATGGGAGTATAGATGAAGCAAGATTGCTCATGGGTTGTTAATTAAAGCTAGATGATAGCTATTAGATTGTTTTCTCTATTTTTGGATATGTTTGAAATTTTGAAATTTCCTGTGATTAAAGCATTTATTGTTTGCTTGATAATTTCCCTTATTTGAATACTTATTGGCATACTAATACACATTTTGGGGTACATTTTCCTGCTCAGATAATTTGATCTGGTGCTGTGTTAAGCATGGTAAATACAGCCTTCTTAAGAGACTCAATCAGAACCAGGGGTTTAAAGACATAAAAGAAAGTAACAGAGAACCCATTTCTGAAAGTCATCCAAGAATGCATTTTTTAGCCTTCGAGTCATATTCTGATATATTCTTGATATAAAGTCATATTCTGTCCCATACCCTATGTCTGCCTCCCTACATTGAGATTCTTCCTGATTTTAACTATAGTCCTAATATAAAAAGAGATATGTTTTCATTTCCACCTTGGATATACTCCCTAGATAAATCTCATTTCTTAGGAGTAATCTTTACCTGGGTATTCACCATAAATAAGCTGGATGAATCTTTGGAGATAATATGCAGGTTTTTTATTTCATGAAGTCTCTTTTTTTTTTTTTTTTTTTTTTTTTTCAAAAAAGGACTGTATATCCAAGGTCTATGGCTGTTTTTGTAAGTACAACATTGGATGCCAAAAAAGTGGATGATTTGGTAATAAGATGGGTACACACATTGGACCATGTGGAGAGTGTCAGACTTGGGGGAGCTCCTCTTATGTCATGCCTCAACTCATAGCAAAAGACCAGAGTCTAGGGTGGAAGAGCACATGTAATTGTGATCTGAGTAGATACACACTCATTAACACACAAAGTTGTAGCAGAGGTTTGTGCCACCGTGTGTAACATCTACTTACTGAGCCCCTCAACAGCTAAGAAAAGCTTCATTGTGCTAGATGTAAATTCTGATTTGCTGAACAGTGTAGTCTTCAGACATGGAAGGCACCCTTGTGAACACGGAGCTGAGCGAAAAACGGTTTTAACTAATGTAATTAAAACACAAAATGAGATTTTGGGCCACATAAAAGCTAGCTGCAGTGCTGTGTGAAACCTCTTGCCATGATCTTTCTCTCCTGCTTTCTCTCTGCTCTCATTCTGTGTTTGAGCGAATGGAGACTAAGGGAATAGTGAAGTCCCAGAGGGACAGAGCTCTGTTCTTGCTGAAATTACAAGCACAGAGCTGCCTGGGCATGAACATGTAGTGTTTACTCTGCCAGTATGAATACAAATAGTCTTATTATACGGACTCTGTACCCACAGACCACACACACACGCACACACGCACACACACTCCCACACACACGCACACGCATGCACACATACACACACGAATAAAAAAAATTAAAGGTTTTTTAACGCTTTAGGACCCAACAAACCTTGGTGAAAGGGGGATATCTCAAATAGCTGCATAGGACAATAGCTGTGAGTAGTAGAGTTGGTGTAGGTACTACATGTTTTTCTTTACCTGGTGCTTGAATACCTTCAAATCTAAAAATCCAATAGCATTTAAATATTTTTTTTTCTTTTCTGTCAGTTCTCACTTTCTCTTTTTTCTACTCTTTGCCCTCCTTAGTTGTTTGTTTTCTTTGTTCTCTTTTCCTTTCCTTCACATGATTGACTAGGATTGAGGCTGAGTATTTGCTTGCTGTTTCTGAATCTTTGAGCTCGGGAGGAATGAGACAGATGCTCTTTTGTGTGCAGTTAGTGACTAATGCCCGGGATGGCTGGTGAAGTCAGTCAGTGGCTGTAGCGAGATTATGGGGTGCTGCATGACAGGAATGAGGCTGGGGTATTAGTATCAAACTCGCTTACCAAAAGCTTGAACATACAATGGAGCATGTCCACTGAGAAACTGACCAATCTAAAGATGGAGTTTCAGCAGTCAGAACTCTGAGGGACAGCTGTGCCTAAGAGATGACGAGGTGTCAGTAGGATGTATTTCCTCATGCTGAGCCCAGTTTTATCAAGGCAAGTTGACTTTCAGCTATTGCAGTTTAATTTTCTTTGGCCAAAGAGACAAGTTTGTCATGAGCCTGGCACTCTACATATTACCCCAAGAATGATGTGAGGGGAAAGAAAAGAGCTCATGCTGATGAGATTTGGAGCAAATCTGTCCTGTCCCAAAGAGAATGGGCATCTGAACAGAGCCTTGAGAAATAGTTTTATTAAAAAAGGAATAAAAAATTGACCTGTTAATGTTTTGAGAGCCAAGGCTCAATGTAAATGCATTGATGCTACATAGACATTAAATCATCATAATGTGGTGTTCTCCAAAGGTGACGGCTCTACCAGGTCATCATGTGGGTGATATTGCATTACCTTGAAGGATTGAAGTTTCTGGGTTTTAAAAGCTAGCACATGGATATAAGAAATAAAGGTAAAACAAGAGATTCCTGCAGAGTTTCCTCATGAATTGAGATGCTTCTCCCCATAATCAAAGGCAGAAAACCTGCACTTATCATACCATAGGCTGCATGGGTGACCGGTCTTTCTTCCTTATTTTTTTCCAGGACAGTAAATAGGTAAAATGGTGATGGGACCAGAACTTAGAACAATTCAGTTCCATTTAGTTTTAGGTAACTTGTGTGCCATTTAAGGAAGAATATTGGCTGTTTCAGCAGAGATGTGACCCGCATTTTGAACATGGTGCCCATGTTAAAAACAGGAGAAAGAGAGCTTTTCTGATGCCATGTTAGCTGCCTTCTCCTTTCTATTTTCATAGTTGTCCCATACCCATCAAGAAAGATGTAACTGAAGGAATGCCACCTTATGCATGATGAAAGGTATAAGAGAACATATTTTTCTCATTGTCAGATTTGAATGGCATTGCATTTAGTGTGAATTTTGAGTAGGAATAAAAAAGATGTAGGCTAAATCTGAGAAGTACATTCCTTGCAAATAGCTCCAAAGATGGGCTGTCTAGGATTTTTTAAATAGTATCAAGTATAGATGAAAATTGAGGAAAGTGCGATCGCAACATAGTCTAAACTGACTTCATTTGTAGCTGCGATGTTGCTACAGTGATGGGCACTGTATGTAAATACACAGTTAGATGAATGTGTGCTGTTGAATATGGATAGGAAGAAGTGCAGTGAACCTGTGGTTCTACTTTTACCACTTCTTGAATTTGGAGGAATTGTTTTCATTTTCCTGCCAATCTGCTAACCTGTTTTGATCATTTGGTGGACGCTGTAATTGCAGGTGGGAACATTTTGAGTAACAGTTCACAATCCAGTGTAGCTGCTTTTCACACTAAATCTCGTTATTAAAAGGCTCAGGCTAAGATCAAGCCCAGGGCTGTAACTAACTTGACAAAGAACAACTTTGTCTGTTAGGACCAAGAAAATACTCGCCTCCCTAAGACTGTGTTCTTGTTTGTTCTGAAATAAGTTATTAGTGTTCTTTTTTTATATTTCCTTTAACAGCTCTGTGAACTAGATCGTGAATCTCTATATTGGCAATGATGAAAGATATGATAAGAGAGGTAACTTCCATAGAAATTCGAGTATGGATAGAAAGGAGGACTTTGTTTTCCTTACTATTTCAGAACATGGACTTTTTAACAATATGAACCCATCCATTCTTTCACATCACTATGGTTATAATGAAAAACTGAAATGAGAAGACGCTGTATTTAGAAGCAGTTATAAGGCTCAGGATATGTACTCCACAAAGGCTTGGCAATTAGAGACTAGAATTCCTTCATGGTACTGATTTTTTTCCTTAAAATTTGTTTGTGAGGAAAGTGTACTCCAGATTGAATGCAGTTTGATAATCACTGCCACCATACACGTTACCAATCACACTGAAGATTCGTAGGTGGCTCCAAGGCTTCATTTTTTCAGATGGGCACTAGGTGTCAGGATTTTTCCTTCTCAGCAGTTTGGCATTCAGACAAGCCTCTTGAATTGCCCTGTTTGGTGAGGCAAATCCGGTAGCATCCTTTTTGTCAGCAGGTATAGTAGACTTCACCTAGTAGCCCTGCAATATGCGATTATAGTTTTAAATCTTTGGGTGGAGATCTGTTGAACCTCACATCACGACTCTTAATGTTATTACAGGAAACTTTTAAGAAGAGTATGAGGGGGTGGAGAGAAGTAACATAAAATAAAGTTTGATGACAGCTGCCGTCACCACTAGGTGCTATCTTGGTTTCAGTTCTGTTTTCTGTTCTTATAGGTAAACTGGTGGTGATGGTACGAGTTAGGAATTCAGTTCTAAAAGTGCTCAGCTTCACCAGTACCCTTATTTATTATTTGTTTTATTGTTGGCAGTATGTTTATGTCCATTTCCAGCAAGACATAAGCATCTCTTTAATTTTTTTTATTATAAATATTTCAAACCTTAGGAAACTAAGGCAGAGTGTTAAGATGGGTAGTCCTGCATCTGACAACTAGCTGAAATAAATCTCATTTTCACTTACATGTTACTATAATCTTTTGAAATTGATAATTTAAGCATAAGGAAAATATTTGGGAATGGAGTAGGGAGAAGAAGTTGGTAAACTTATGTAAGCCTAAAAGGTGGGAAGAAATGAACTTAGATCTGTTTTGACAGTTTTTAAACTGGGCCTCTTAACTCAGGACCTTTTATTTTAGAAAAACCACCACAGCCCTCTGTCTTAACCTACTTGGTTCACATCTCCCATATGCTCA